TGCAGTGAGCTGAGATCATGTCACTGCACTTCAGCCTGGGCGACAGAGCAAGACTGTCTCAAAAAAATAAAAATAAAAATAAATAAGATTTTTTTTGTTTGTGTGTATTCCCAATAGCATAATGCCTTGCATGTAGATACTTTTCTTTATGGGGCTCAAAGATGACTCTTGTAGAACAGTTAGCACATATTCACTGGCAGGTTTTAAAATCTGAGGCATAGCTAACCATTTGATTTTAATAGGTTTATTTAATAAATTATTCTCTTCTCTCTTAAATAAAATGTCTTTTATCTAGTCAGTTATCACACTGGTATGAGATGTGTTTGATATTCTTTTTCAGGGACAGTTGCCATTTGCTGTTGTGGGAAGTATGGATGAGGTGAAAGTTGGAAACAAGATGGTCAAAGCTCGCCAGTACCCTTGGGGTGTTGTACAAGGTAAATGAGACAAAGGATGACTAGAAATATGTATCTAGTAATCTCAAAGCTGCCTTTCATGCCTTCTTTGGGGTGATGCTTAGTTTGGATGTGATTGGTTGTCAGAGGAGTTGGCTGTGTACTATTTTAGCCAAAGTCTGGAGGCCATGTAGAGCCTCCCCCTTCTTATTATGCCACACACACATTACCTCCCCGCGGTACCCTGTCAGTAGGTGGGAAACAACAGTGGGGCACTCTGACCCAAATGTGAATGTAGAAACTAGTGTTCAGACATAAAACATCACTAATTACCACTTAACTATGAGGACGGTCAACCATCTTATAAATTTATTTATTTTTACTGATCAAAGTATTGCCAGCTATTTCCAGAATAAACCAGTCCGCCAACTTAAAAAGTTAAATCCACTTGACATTTAGATTATTTATCTGACATAATGAGTAAGTAAGTAGTACTGTATGGTTCATTTACTTATAGTGCTAATTAATGGTGAATAGATTACCCTTACTAGTATAGATTTCCAAATGCTGATTTTTTTTCTTAATTGATAAATTTTATAATTAGTGAAAAATATTGAGAAAATGTAACATTTTTAATTTTATAAAAAATATAAAAGTAATAATTATACCAAAGAGTGTTGGTCACAATAACACATATTTATTTGTAGTCCTCTAGTCACCGTAAACATAGAAGAAGGATCATGTAAGTGTGTTCACTAATTTTGAATAGTGTCTAACACAGGATCATAAATGTGTTGTATAAAATGAATTTGATAATTATAGCATGGATGGATAGTATTCTTGAGTTTGTAGAATTTACTACTTTGAAGTTTTAGTGAACTAATATTATATACTCTTTTTAAACATTATGTGAAATGTCTTCAGGATAGTTTGTAAACTGCTAACAAAATATTCGTGTGAAATAACTAGAACAGTTGGTTAACAATAAGTTGTGTCTTTTTTGCTATTTCCTGGTGGTCCTTTGGCTACTAAATTTAAAGTAAATCTCCTGGTCTGTTAATTCACCTTGCCTATGATACAGTGTTTACACTGCAAGAGTTTCTTCCTTAGTTACCTGTATAAAATAATCGTAGCAATTAAACAAACTGATCATTTTGCTATTTGTTATTTCACATGTTTTCATTTATTTGTTCATTCAGCAAACACTTAATTGTGTGCCAGGAATTAAAATCCAGTGTTGCTCTTTTCTTTTTTTTTTTTTTTTGGCTAGTGGAAAATGAAAACCACTGTGACTTTGTAAAGCTGCGGGAAATGCTCATTTGTACAAACATGGAGGACCTGCGAGAGCAGACCCATACCAGGCACTATGAGCTTTACAGGCGCTGCAAACTGGAGGAAATGGGCTTTACAGATGTGGGCCCAGAAAACAAGCCGGTCAGGTAGGGTTGGGTTCTTGGGAAGCCAACCAAAGAGGAAGTTAGAGAGGATTGCATATTTTTATATATCCAGGCTGATGGGGCATGTGTTGTTTAGAATCTCCCAAAACCACGATATAGAATCATTTGGTAATGACTAATTATTGTGCTTCTTGAATCACTTGACTCCTTCTTGCTTTTGAAGAGTCTTGCTTTTTAAGTCCTTGTCTGACTCAGAAAGAGTTAAACATGATGAAGAATGTATGACAGAGGCCCCCTGTTTCAGTTCATGCTGACATGAGTAACTGAAGGAAAATACCCTCATTATTTGATTTATTTTTGTATTTATCTGAGACAGATGATATATTTAACTGTTTTCATAAAGGTAAGTTGGAACACAAATCATTTTCTTATTTTTATTTGTTTATTTTTTGTAGAGACAGGGTCTTACTATGCTGCCCAGGCTGGTCTCAAACTCCTGGCCTCAAGTGATCCTCCTACCTCAGCCTCCCAAAGCTTTGGGATTACAAATGTGAGCCTCCATACCAGTCCTCAGGAATCATTTAAAATAAAGTAAAACATTTTCTGTTGGTTTTTCTTCTGTAAAAGTTTTGGAATGAGTGAAGCTTAGCAAAACATATTATAGAGGAAGAATGAGAGTGCTTGTAGGGAGTCGGAGATTAGATTGTTTCTTGCCATATTACAGCGTAGTTATAAGAATTTTAGAATCTGAACACCTCCTTGCTCAGTAATATAAAGCATTAAAAGTTGTAGAAACTTCCTTGGTAATTTCATATGGTGCTGTATCCCAGACTTTATGAAACTCGAATCCTTAGTGTACGGAATCAAATCGATTTGATGTAGCATTCCAGAACAGTGTTTGCATGGAGGAAAGCATGAGATCCTTGGGACAAATGCTATTTTAAACTCTCTTATGAGACTGAGGATTCCTTTTCCATTGCATTGTTTGCATTTGTTATTTCCCTGGTTCTTAGCACCTGCACCAGAGTAAACACAAAAGAAAGAGGGAGGAGTGCATCAAATCAGTGCTGCTGTTGCATATAAGCTTTTGGAAGACTTAACCTTAGATGAAGTTAAAATTTTAAATTTCTTCAGTCTATGGAGTTAATTAATGTTTTCGCTTCTGGTAGCACAGTGAATTAAGAATTGTGTATACTTACGGCCAGGCGTGGTGATTTATGCCTGTAATCCTAGCACTTTGGGAGGCCAAGGCGGGCAGACCACTTGAGGTCAGGAGTTCGAGACCAGCCTGGCCAACATGGTGAAACCCTGTCTCTACTAAAATTACACAAATTAGCTGGGTGTGATGGTGCACTCCTGTAAAACCAGCTACTCAGGAGGCTGAGGTGGGAGAATCTCTTGAACCTGGGAGGCAGAGTTTACAGTGAACTAAGATCGTGCCACTGCACTCCAACCTGGGCGACAGAGCAAGACTCCATCTCAAAGAAAAAAAAAAAAGCATTGTATGTACTTAACCCACCCTCACCAAATTCAGGCATAGGATGCTTCTGGTTGTGGGCCATTCTGGTAAACTGACAATTTTCTCATGATACTGTCTTCACTAAAGATTAATCATCTTGAGTTAGCTTCCCTAGTGTTTCTCAGAGGAGGCTCTCTTCTCATTTCTTCCAAGTATCAGGGTCACTTCAGAGGCCTCTGTGGACTGAGGTGGAAGGGGTCCTGAGTAAGAGCATGCAGGGACAGCTTTGAAGTCCTCTGTGAGGAGATGGGCCTGGGTGTCTGGTGGAGTTATCATCAGTCACCTGTGGATGATTAAGAAATTCAGGGTCAGAATTTCCAGGGATGAAGCCTAGAAATCTGCAGTCAGAATTCTTAGTCATTCAGCAAATAATTAGTTTGTCTGCTGTCTGCTCAGCCAAATGCTAGTCATTGGGTATATGTGCACTGTGGGATCAAACAAGAGACCCTGTCTGTGTAGAGTCTGTATTGTGGGGTGGGAGGAGGACCCCTATGTGAAGAAGAGAGTTGGGGGGAGGCAGGCAGAAGTGGGGAGACCAAGTTAGGAGGTTGCCATGAGAAGATGGAGGCATGAAAGAGAGTGGTAGTGACAGAGGGGTGAGAAGTATGCTTAGGACATGTAATTTTTTTAAATTTAATTTTATTATTATTATTTTTTTTTGAGATGGAGTCTCGCTGTGTTGCCCAGGCTGGAGTTCAGTGGCGTGATCTTGGCTGACTGCAACCTCTGCCTCCCAGGTTCAAGCGATTCTCATGCCTCAGCCTCCTGAGTAGCTGGGACTACAGGCATGCACCACCACCCCCGGCTAATTTTTGTGTTTTTAGAAGAGACAGGGTTTCACCATGTTGGCCAGGCTGGTCTTGAATTCGTGGCCTCAGGTGATCTGCCTGCCTTGGGTTCCTGAAGTGATGGGATTACAGACGTGAGCCACCACACCTGGCTGAGGATATGTAATTTGAAGTTAAAAGTCTGTAGGACCCACTGATAAATTATTTTTGGATATGGGATTTGAAGGAAAGAGAGGAGGACCCACTGATAAATTATTTTTGGATGGAAAGAGAGGAGGACCCACTGATAAATTATTTTTGGATATGGGATTTGAAGGAAAGAGAGGAATCAAGGATAACTCAGTCACCATTTTGACCTAGAAAGTGGGGTGACTGGTAGTGATCTTTATTGACCTGAGCAGGATGGAAATCGGAGAGTTTAGGGATGTAATTGGTAATTCAGAGGTTTTAGAAATGTTACATTTAAGCTGCTTGTTAAATATTCAGTTGAAGAGTTTGAGTAGGTTATTACAAACATGAATCTGGAGCTAGGAAGAAGTTAGGGCTGCCATAGTAATTTGGGAGTCAACAGTGAATAATACTGGGTAAAATCTTAAGTGTTTTTTAAAAGGTTGTGCTAAATGCTAGAGATTACTATTATTTCTCATGGAGTTTACGTTCTCGTAGGGGAGTTCAAAAATTAAACACCTAATTGCACAGTACATTGTAGCTGTGATATAAGCACTAAAGGAGAGGTAGACAGTGTAAAATGGGTGGTGTGGGTGGGGGAGGGGTCCCAAATTTAAGCTGGAAAATTCGGGAAGACTTTCTTGAGGCAGTGACTATTTTGAGCTATAATAGCTTGGGGAAAACAGAGCAAGACATAGACAAAGGGCTGAAGATGGAGAGAGAATGGCATCTGTAAGACTCTGGAAGAAGATCAGTGCACCGCAGTACAGCAGGACAGATGAGGCAGGCCTGGGCTCGCATGAGATGAGAGAAGAGAACAGGCAGGCAGCAGCTGTGGAGGCCCTGGGGAGGATTTTGATCTTTGTCCTAAGGGGAAGGCAACGTTATTTTAGGAATAGCATTTGCATTTTAAAAATCATTCTTTGCTCTAATGTGAAGGAGGTATTGAAGGGGTGTGCAGAGATGCTTAGGAGAGGCCAGTTAGGAGAGCATTTCTTTGACCAAAGTGAGATCAATGACAATAAAGAGCTGGACATATTTGAGAGATGACTAGAAGGTAAAATTGGAAGAACTTAGTGGTTGTTTGGATACAATAAACTGAGAAAGCAGGAGGCTAGAAGGAGACTCCTAGTCTCCTGAATTTGTGGTTTCATGGTTAGGTGGATGGTTACTGCATTCATCTAGATAGGTATGGCTGAAGGAGGACTAGCCTTTTTGTGTGTGTGAGGCAGCAGTGGTAGGCACAATGGAGGTCACAGTTTTGGACCTGTTGACTTTGAGTTTCCTCTGAAACAGCAAAGTGACAATTACAAGTAAACACTTTGGGGTATCTTTCTGGAGGTCAGAGAAGGGCTGGGTCAAAGAAATACGCTTAAGAGTCATGGGCATTTCAATGATTAATTCTGAGTGTGACCAGGGATAAGACTGCCTGTAGAGAGAAGTACATCTAGAAAGAAAGTTGACTCAGAAACAGCCTTGAGTCACTTTAGTATTTGTCAGCTGGAGGAGCAGATAGGAGAGCATGAGAAGGGAGGAGGAGGAAAACCAGCAGTGTCACGTCTTGAAACTTGATAGAGGGGATCAAGAAAGAGAGAGTGTGCTGCTGTGTCAAAGTTGAGGGCCAAGTTTATGCTGCATAAGTACAGAGGTACTTCCTTGACAATTCTTGGAGAATAATGAAGACCACTTTGTGTTCAGTTTAAAAAGGCAGTGGTTGGGGCCGGGCGCAGTGGCTCACGCCTGTAATCTCAGCACTTTGGGAGGCTGAGGCAGGCAGATCACAAGGTCGGGAGATCGAGACCATCCTGGCTAACACGGTGAAACCCCATCTCTACTAAAAATACAAAAAATTAGCCAGCATGGTGGCGGGCACATGTAGTCCCAGCTACTCGGGAGGCTGAGGCAGGAGAATGGCGTGAACCCAGAAGGTGGAACTTGCAGTGAGCCGAGATCATGCCACTGCACTCCAGCCTGGGTAACAGCAAGATTCCGTCTCAAAAAAACAAAAAAAGAAAAACGGCAGTGGTTGGAAGGCTCCATAGGTCTGGACTTGCAGATTTGAAGGGAAGGCCTACAACACGAAGAAACCATTTTCGTTCTAGCTCTGGGAGTGGAATGAATGAACTGAAACCATTGCCAGCCTTTTTTGTTCACTGCTCACAATTCGTATCCAGGGAAAGAAAGTCCAGTAGGCCCAATGTAGTTCATGTTCCCATCTCTTGTTTAGGAGTGAGTATGAACCTGATTAATTGTCCCACAAGACTGTATCCCATGGGGGACAGGTAACCCCCGAAAAGGTAATGAGGATAATGGTACCAAGAGGAAAGGGCTCAATGATAGGCAGTCAGGAATCATAGATTGCCCATCACATCCATTTACTGAGCATTTCTTCAGGTTGGGAAGCATCTGCTCACTGATCACACAAAGAAGGGGAAATTAGAAAGGGAGGTTCTTCAGCTTAGATCAGGCTATGGACTGGGTGGGAGCAGCGGCTGGAAGAAACTCAGTAAGTTTAGGTCAGGCTACAGAGCTAGTGGGAGCAGTGGCTCAGTATTTTCTTCTGAGCG